CACCAACAATGTTGAAGCCCAGCCCTAAGGTAAGCCAGAGAGAAAGCTGGTAAGAAAACACTCCAAGCTCCAGGCATTCTTGCTGCTGTTGGGAAGTGTGCCCACCCACACTGTCCTGTTAGCTCCACCACACTGAAATTCACAGCATGCAAATCAGTACCGTCCTTCCCAACCATCTTTGTCTGAAGAAGACAATTAGTTCTTCAAAGCAGAGGAGAGACTCTGAGTGCTTCATTCCGCAAAGCGTCAGCTGAGAAATACTGCAGAGCACATCTTCACTTCTAGGATGTCAGCTCAGCCCTCAGCAGGAATTCACCTCTTCAGCGCAGAATGAAAGGAAACAGAAGCATTCTGCATTTCACAGGAGGCTACAGCAAAACCTTGGAGCAAAAAGGAATCACGCCTCACAAGTTTCAGGAGTTGAGAGTCAGAGTTAGGGAAGGCAAGTAGCAGCAGTCCCTGTCTACAGATGAGGAAATGAGCACGAGGAGCCATGCTGCCAGCCTGAGGACAGCTCAACAGCTCCCATCTGCACCTACAGGGCTGGGACTGGCAGCCTTTCCCTCCAAGAGTCACAGCAGGTCAGACACAGCTTGTTCAGATTTTATGTATTCATTTTGTTCTGTTTCAGGAGTTCAAAACATGACAGGAAACAAAAGTTCCAGGAATTAAAGTAAAACAAAAAGAAATACACATACATTACGTAGAACTGATGTCCACACTTTTGTTTTGTGTGGTTCTCTAAAACAAGCCTTGTATACAGAAAACTGGCTGGACCCAACAGCTGGATTCAAGCACAATTAAAGACTAAGTCTTCTGGTTTCCTCAAAATCCAGAAGAACAAACTGAATTCAGCATCTGGAAAACCACATTCTGTACTGCACATGCAGCTGGGCTTCCCTGTCAAGAGTAAAATACGTTAAGGGATGGGTAAGATTCCTAAAAGGAGACTTGTAGTGAAAAAAAAAGAAATACAGTATATCAAAGTAAATTGAGGAAAAAACAAAACAAATAAACAAAGAAAAAACCACTTTATTTCTCTGATATAATGCAGTCATCCAAACCCTTCTGTCAAGGACAGCTGAAGGCAAATTCTTTCGACATTCAGCCAGGCTGGTTTGTTTTTCCTTTCTCTCTCTTGTTCTCCCAAAGTTGGGACTTGAAATACTGGGAAGCAGAGTAGAAAGTGAAAGGGAAAAAATACATCATGCCTGCTGGGAAACAGTATTTTTAATTAGTCCAAAGGTTGCATGACATGAGTCACGGCGTAAGCGTGCATCCACAGCTAGGAAGCAGAGAAATATTAACAGTGACCTTGACACCTGTGCTGTTTTGTTTTGCTCCCTCCTATTCCTGGCAGCTTCAGACAAATGAGGAAGAAGATGGGAAGAACAACAGAGTGACGAAACACTGACTTTTCAGCTGGAGTAATATTTATTACAAGGAGCACTTGAGCACAACTGCACACTCTTCAATGGGAATTAAAAAAAAAAAAAAGCAAAAACATCCACAATGATTTGCCATGAAGCTTCAGGGAAATCAATACCATAGAAAATATGAGTTTTAATCAATGTTTATTAAAAAAACAGAAAGAAGGAATCTAGCTTTCAGAGAATAATGATTCTCTCTCTGTTTTGATATGTCTGTGTATACATATTTAAAAAACAACACAATATGAGCAAAAATATATTTTACAAGTTTTCACCCATGGTTACCAAAACAACCTAAAGCCATTGTTTGCATCAGCAGGGACAAGACAAAGAAAGGAGTTCTGTGAGGCAGCAATGCGTGTCACTGAGTTAAAGACCCGCAGGACTCACTGGAGGGCTTTTTCTCCTCTGCACTTAAACTTCCAGCCTGGCTAAAAATACCTTCTTTGCCTTCCCTTCAGCTTTTTTGCTGTTCTCCTTCCAGCTTATGTATTAAGAGACTGAGTATAACCAGGAGAAAGACAGGAAGGGGAAGAAGAGAGCATGCGGCATTAAGTTCCTCACCTACAAGAGGCAAGAAAAGCAATGATCAAGCTTTAACAGAAGATGTGGGTGTACCTTCTGAACTTTCCATGCCTCCTTTACCCCCTAAAAACATAAAAATTCCCTCTAACAATATTCAAAAACAACCCATGATTTATAGGATCTTTAGATACTGAAGAATACAAACTACAAATTGAATCTGCAAAGTTATTTAGTTTTTCATTAAACCAGACTTTTCCTCCTCCCTTCAGCTTAATAAATCAGAAGGAAATATGAAAGAGACTTATACAAACAGTTTTGCTTCTATAAATATGTTCAGCCCCTCAGAAACTTCTGCCAGAGATGTTTATCATCAGTTATATTATAGAAAACTAGACGCTCAAAACTTAGATTAGAGAGATTGTAGGATTACGCTCTGCTTCACAGGTTTGTTGCTTCAACAGAAATGAATGACAAGTGATACAAGATCACAAGGGGCTGCATGAAGAACAGACCGCTCATCCTACTGACTGCACAGGTGCTGCTCACAGGAATCAGATCTACATTCCAGTAGCCATGGTGAAGACCTCTCAACTCTGTCCTTCAACACCCTTTTCCTGCCCCTCAACACCCTTTTCCTGCCCCTCAAGATTTTAAGTGAAATGTTTCCAAACGCATGGAAGGAACTTCAAGACAGAACTTCGTTTTTGTTGGTTGAGGCTCACAACCACATCAGCACAGCTGCACGGGTCTCAGAGCAGTCACTCCTCCCTACAGCCACAAGGCACAGGGTGCCTGCTCGTGGTGGGGCCAAGTCTGATCCTGCAGATCACTACCAGGAGACCAGAAGCAGCACAGAAGTGGAGTTCCTCTTGCAAAGAGTCTGCCGTGATCCTAACTGCCTGCAGGTATCCAACTCCATTGCTCAGACCAGTCTGCCAGAAGTTCTCTGAGGCAGGAGGATGGGGGAAACCACAATATCTGTTATGTGTTATGGCCACGGGATGAGCAGGGGAGGCCATCTACCTCCCCAGGGTCAGTCAGAATGGCTCTAGCTGTGAAGATGTCAGTGCTGCAGCTCACGGTGAGGCACAACAAGGCAAAGCTGGCCCATGGCCATGTGCTGCAGCCGGGCCGGTTTCATTCACCCCTGTTTTAATTAAAGGCCTCATACATCAAAGCTCTGCCTTCAGAAGTTCCCCAGAGTTTGCGACGCTTCAGATCCAGGATTTCGCTTCAGTTCGGGGCGTTTGCCCCTAACTTTCTGCACCACTGACAATGCTGCTTTAGTGCCGTAACTGAGCCAGCAAGCGTCTAAAGGCCTGGTCCCCGCCACGGGACCGACACAGGGAAAAGCAAAGCCAAACAACACCTCCCAGCCTTCCCCATCCCCCTTCCCTCACAGAAAGCTCAGCACCACCCCAGCCGAACTCAGAGCTCCGTTTCGGCCTCCGCGAGCTGCCTTTACGAGGTACCGCAGCCCACAAGCCGTAGGAACGCCCCTGGTTCTGGGCGCCCAGCAGCGCTGCAGGGCAGCACACCTGTCGCTTCACTGGACAGCACGAGCAGCCGCGCAGACCTCCTGAAAGCCGCCTCGCTTCCAGCCAAGAAGCCGACGGCGTTTCTCCGCGCTGTTATCGCGGAAGACCAAGTCCGACGGCGTCGCCTCCCGCTCACACAGCTCGCAGTCCCCTTCCGGAGCAACGTGCTCGGCACGGCGCCGCCGGCACAGCCCCGGCGCCGCGCTGCCCGGCCGGACGCCGCTCCCGCAGGGCTCGGGGCTCCCCCCCCCCGCCCCGCGGCGGAAGCTCCGACGCCGGGGCGGTGTCCCCCTTCCCCCCCTCCCCATCCCCGGAAGGGACGGCCAAGGTGGCGGCCCGCGTCCCCCCCCCCCCCCCCCCACCTCTGCGCGGCCCCACGCGGAGCGCGGCCGCCCCGGCCTCACCTGAGGGTCCCCGGGTGAGCCGGATCACCTCCTCGGAAACGCCGCCGCCCGCCACGCTGCCGTTCATGCTGCAGCCTGAAGGTGAAGTCGGCTGGCGAGGCAACCGCTTTCGTTTCCTCGGCCGCCGGCGCAGGGCCGCGCCGCGGAGCGCTGGGAGTTGTAGTCCGCCCGGGAAGGGAAGGGACGGGCCGGGCCCGGCGGCCGCCGCAGCCCGCGAGCGGCCCGCTGCCGGCAGTGCCTCGCGCCCGCCGCTGGGCTCGGTGAGGGCGCGCGAGCTGCTGCGGCTGGACGGCCCCGGGGCGGGCGGGCTGGCGGTGGCGGTTAGCTCTGCCCGCGTCCGGTTAAAGCGTTAAAAAAAGGCAGTTAACGGTTTGCTGACAATCAGCAACAGCAACGATTGTTCAGCTAGCAGACAAGTGGATTGTTTTACAGCCTTTCCTACAGAAATGCCCCTCCTTCAGAATAACATTCTCACTGTTAAAATACAGCGTCTTCTTTCTGCTGCGCTAGAGAAGAGTTCTAGACATTGCTTTAATGCACATAATAAAGCACTGAACGGTGTTCCCAAGTCCCTCATGCTTTCTCATAAATGACACGTTTTACATCTTATTAAAAGAAAGGCTTCTGTGCGACACGTTGTAGAGCTATGGCAGCATATTTGCTAACAGTCCCCAAAGTAATCAGAGTAAAACAAGAGAAAGGCACCGAGGTAGGCAGATATAAAGCATCTGTCAAATAGCACAGGAGTTGTGAGGGTGGGAGAGCTGCAGAACAGCCCTAACTATTTTAGAAGTGCACTGAACTTGTGCAGCCTCATAGATTGCTTGTTCTTGCAGCAGTAAAATCCACAGCACTTCTCTGGAGGACCCAGCAGTATATACACTGCGTACTCACCGCTCACTGAGCGCTTCATTTTTAAGAACCCAAGGTACAAACTGAGAGCAGCATACCTTATTGCCTGCATTTATTAACTTAAAATAAACAGAGATAACATTTCATCTGTTTCACAATGCTGTATTGGATTATAACAACTCAGAAGGTGTTGAATTATTTCAATAAGGTATCAGCGGGCTCTGCTGACTTCCTCAGGAGATTTTCTTAGGAGCATCCAAAGCCAGAACTTTGTTGGTCTTTGCGAAGTGCACGGTAGTAGATTTTGTCTCAGCAGTAGGTGTTATATAGCAACTACTGGCATTTGCAGTATTTGAAACAACCACTAACTCCTTCTGTGAAATCAGGCCTTATCCTCATAAACCATTCCCCTATTTCCTTTTTATAATATATGACAAGAATAACTCCAAGAACAACAGGAAAAACAAGGCCAACTACTCCTATTCTTGACCTCCGAAAAATCTGCTTGGATGGAGGGGGCCCGCTGTCAATGCTACCTCCAAATCCTTCCCGATCACAATATGGAGGAGCCCAACCATAGTCGCAGTGACAGTTTCTAAGATTGTTACACACTCCTCTGTTATGGCACTTTGTTATGTTACAATCATAATTCAGCACTGAAATATCGGTACACGTCCTGTCAATACAAATCTTGTTGCTGCCACACGTCGTGCCATCTTCCACAGCCCCCAAGTCAGCTACAGGCATCCCTATGTGATAGTCAAGACCCCAACACTTTTTACCTCTGGCAGGGGTTTGGATGACTGTTATGTGGTTCTGCAAAGAGGGCAACTTGGGTATGTTTTCACACTGTAGCCTTCCACATAAGGCATCCTCAACACTGCACTTAGTAAAATGAATACCGTTACGAATACCACAATTTCCAAAACGGTCACCTCGACTATTCACTTCTTTGAAGCAATCTAAAGGAGCGGGCCTGGCTTGTTTGCCAAAAAGATGCTTGCATTGTTTACTGTGGGAAGAACATTTTCCTTTGTAGCAATAGGCACCATCTTCACAAGGGGCTCCATCTTGTACATACAGGTCTGGGTTGCACCAAGGCGAGGTCCCATTGCAGTACTCCGGCAGGTCGCAGTTACCAGTACGTGCTCTGCAGAGTGTTCCTGCTGGAAGGATCTGACAGCCCTTGCAACATTTTCCAGAAGCACAAACTGAACCTTCAGTCAACGTGCAGTTAGGGTGACAACAAGGATCGTTTCTGCAGTCTGATTTTGAACCACAGTCGCACTGCTCTCCGCTTTCTACTATCTTATTCCCACAGTATTCACGCTTCAGAGTGTAGTAGCTGCCAAGTGCTGGTGACTGACGCAGGCAGCTACCACCACTCCCAAGCAGGTCAAAGTAGTCTTTGTAACTGCAGTCACTGAATGCGTCGGTGTCAGATTCACTTTCGTACATAATGCACCTCTTCCGCCTGCATTTACAGTGCCGTTCATCATGACGCATCCCAAGATTATGGCCCAGCTCATGGACAAATGTGACAATAAATGAAGACAGCCTCCTGTTGGTGAAGGAATCAACTGCTGATGACCACTGCCTGTCACATATGGACCCCAGATATGCCAATCCCAGGCTTTTTCCAAAGCCCTGAAATGCAAATAAGTGAGCAACGTCATGGCGCATCCGTGGATATAGGTCTGTTTTTCGCCATTTGTTAAAGTCTGAAAGTGCCTTGTTTACAGAGTTAGTAATGTTTATAAGATTGCCTTTGGTCCAAATCTCCAGTCCCACAAGGAACAGTTGAACAGAAAGCTGGTCATACAGAGAATCTCCAATATTGACAACTTCGAGGACTTGCCTCAAGACTTTGGATTCATTCCTGTCTGACCTCACAAACCGCACGTTGTCCACGACCACTACTAACTTCACATACCTGGTATGTGTCCACCAGTCCTTCAGCATGTACTTCTCCTCTGTGCGTGGAGCCTGAAGCCAGGGCAGCACAGTCTTCTGGTACTGCAGCTCTGTGGGGGTCAGCCCGCACGTGGGGCCCGTCGGGTCGCTGTCTGCCTCCATGCGGTAGAGCATGTGCTGAAAGGCTGGATCATCAGGGATGGGCTCGATCTCATAGGTGCTGCCTTCCATCCAAAGCACTCCACGGAGGCCCCTGCCGCAGGTGCCGAGGGCCACCAGGGAGCCGGGACTTCCCTGCACCTCACCTTGATAGAAGCAATTGTCCTGAACGTAGACATGCTCCTCCCGACGTGCCCCATCCTCGCCATAGGTGACCAAAGTGAAAGGCTGGGAGGCCAGGCCCTTCCTGGGCCGCAGGCGCAGGACCTGTGGCTTCCCCTGCACCTCCAGCCAGTAGGAGACAGTCAGGGGGTTGGTATCAGCCCGGAGGCTAAGCTGTCGTGGCACTGTCACCCACACACCGGTGACACGAAGCGGCTCAGGCTCATCATCAGGGGTGGTGGAGCACCCCACCAGGCCCAGCAGCACCACCAGCACCAGCAGCGTCTCCATGGTAACTGCACAGCGTTGCCCCACGCTCTGTTTGTGAGGGGCCGGAGCTCGGAATGGAGGAGCCACCTTCAGGTCTAGAACTGCACCTTAAGTGCCTGCCCTTCCCTTGGGAGGTACCAGGGAAGATCAGCAACATGGCAGCCTCCTTTGCCTGCTCCATCAGGAAATGACACCCCACTGCCTAGAGGTACATCTTGGATGGCCACAAAGGCACCTCAAGACAGCCATCCCCTGCTCTATGAGTACAGGCGTAGGCTCTTGCGGAAGACTAAACAGAATTACTCCAAAACAAGCAAACTCACAGCTTTCTACAATCCTCATTTATCCTGCATAGACATAAGAACTCTGTGTGAGGAGGGGCCCCAGCTAAGTTTCATGCTCCTAGTCATCCACGTCTGCGTTGAGTGAACAGATCATACGGTTAGACCACCAGAAAAAAAAATCTTAACATTTCAAACTGCTGCAGATAAGCAGGCAAACTATTTTCTTATCGTTTAGTATATGTATCACTATACAGTCAGGTATTAAACTCACTGCAGGTTATTTGGGTGGGGGTGGAACATGTAAACAGTTTCTCATTGTGTTGAACATCTCAAGCAAGCCCTCTGGCAGCAAGATTTCATAAAGAGAGATGACACTTTGTTCCGACTAACACTGCACTTTGTATTCTGATTAAGAATAAATGAGAGGGAGGTAGATTCCCATTGTATGACAATGAACAGGTTGGAAGAAAAAAAAAAAAAAGACTGACCTTATAAAAGAGCAGAGAAGAAAGTTTGCATCAATCCATAGCTACTTCAGCAGCAGAAACATTTGTTTGGCAGCTGCAACTGGCCTTCTTTGTATGCAGCAGTGCTTTCAAAAATTTTTTTTCATGCGGTCATCCACTAAAATTTTCAATGGAGGTACAAGCTCTAATGAAACTGAATCTTAGCAAGAGATTTGCTTTTCTCACTTACCTGCTGTGAGTCTTTATGAACGCATCACAAACTCACAGCAGTCTTGAGGACCACAGGTTGAAATCCACTGTCCTAACAGAAAGAAATGAAATTTCTGATTGTTGAGATGAATAGTACTACGTCATACCTCATTTCACTGGGAAGATTTCCTGTTACTACCCAGCCATCCATAATCCACATTATGCTGCAGAAGGACATTCATCAAATAACTGATCATTTGTTTGTCCTGTATAAGAATACAGGACTAAAACAACACTTGATCCAAAATTTACGTATCTCTCCAAGGAAACATGGCAAACATGCACTGATTGTTCAAATGCCATGTAATTTTTTTTTTTATTATTTTTTTTTAATTAGGGAAATGTTATCGAAATACAAAGTATGGGTGCAGGTGGCAAAGAGAAATGAGTAAGCATAACGCATGGTCACATCTTACTTGGTAAAGAGCAGAAAAGACTGTGTTTGTGACACATTTCAGATACTGTTAACTTTAAATGGTGAAGGGAGATAGCAAGGCTCCCTCTCTTCCTGTAATCAGGCCAGATTTTTGCAGTGCATATGCATACATACATATCCGTTCATACGGATATGTATGCAGACATGTGCATCTTCAGGCTATCAGGAGAATGTTTTTATTAGATTTTTAGGTCATCTTCAATTCCTTCATCCCTCTGATTTGGACTAAGAAAAACCCTTTTAAAGTCTGAACAGTTATTATCTAAGAGCAAAAGTAAAGAAAAATGTATTTCCTTTGTACAACCAAATACCTCCAAAACGAAGTGACAGTAAAAATTTTGGAACTGCTTATTTCCCTTTCATCTATAAGCTTTACAAATACGGAATGTCCTCTGAAGGACTTTGGACTTCAGTGCTCAGGCTCAGACTAAGAGATACCGTATAAATACCAGAGGGAAAAAAGACTTAGATTCTCATACACCAAGAAACATAACTGACTAAAAGATAGCATTTTAGCAGCAACTTTGATTTTAGCAGTAATAACTCATATAATTACACTTGAGCAAGTAAATATCAAAACTCATTTAACCAGTAAAGTTGTTTCAGAATATCTTCTCAGCAAATAATAGGATCAGACAAGATTCCAATTCCTCACTCCCTCATGCAGTAAGCCTTCAGCATTGAAAGATGGCTACTAAGAAATCAACACATTCATCGATAACATCTCCCATTGCTCTATAATATAATTTGTGCTTCCTACAGCTCTTGATATTTTTTGCAGAAGAGATCATTCTTCTTTGGAAAAAAAAAAAAAAAAAAAAGGCTTACTGCATTCTACTTCACATTTTCATGCATGGAAACTATTTTCTATCCTTTCAATAGCTTATATGCTGGCATTAACTCAAGCTGGATCAGAGCAGAAGACGATCCTTTTTAATGTCCTCAGTCTGACACTGACCAAAACCAGATGCATCTGCAGAAAGCAAAAACACTGTTAAGAGAGGCAAACACAAGGACAGTCTGCCCCCTTAAGTTTTACTCTCATCTCTAAATCAGGTCAAATTCTGAGCATGAAGTGCAGTGATTCATTTTAAATGTAACTCCATTCAGCTTCATTAACTTGTCCATGTATTCTTACAATGCAAGACAGAACAAGGTATCCTATTTGCTTCACAGCACTCAATTTTATGAAGGGCCAATATTTTTCTTTTCTTTCCCAGGAAAGTCTTGGTCTTACCAATGTCTTCATAAGAGATTTTTTTTCCCATCTTACTCATGTTATCGCCAATCTTCAAATCCTTTTCTTTGGCAAAATTGTTCCAGTATTTGTGCTGTACAACACACTGTACTGTAGGGGTAGCTCACTTAATGACAGATTTTGTGCTTGTACTGGCATCCACATTGACCATTTTTACATGCTTTCAACAGTAGACAAGGTATCCTTCCTATGCTAGTAATTTCAAATCTTTCTTTGATACACAAATATTTAATTAGTCTCCCAAACTGAAATAAAACCCTAGATCTCCAATGCAGTGCAATCTAGTCATCTTTCTTAACTAAGCTTCTCCAAATAGCTTATAGGTTCTAGTGATATGAATCACTGCATAGAATTAAGCTGCCTTAACTGCCCCTTTTCAAGAACTTCATCTGAATATCAGAAATTCAGTGGGGAATCTTGAGGCGCCTCACCACTCATGCCTCCTTTCTACCATACAGGTGAGCAAGATGATGGTTTTGGCACTTCTCAAGCTCTTTCCTTTCAAAGGAATTTCTATAATAGGAGAAAGAAGCAAAACTTTTATTCTAAGCATATTCATGCTTCCTTGTAATTATTCAAGGTTAAACAATTAGCTCCAGCTTGTTTTGAGCATTCCAGAATAACTACTCTCTCTATAGTTAATAGTTCACACTACCTTATTACCTGTTTCCATCAACATTTCAAGAAATAGCAGTTCAAATGCCACCCACATTATATAAAATGAAGGTAATACACACTTAAGTACACTGATGTATCAACAGCAAACAGCTCTTGGCTTATCTGTATTTGCTTTTACAGTTTTGGATTAAAGGGCAAAAATTCTTTCCACTGTTCAATAGCTATCCCATCAGAACTCTTCATTAGTTACTAAATCAGAAAACAAGGCTTCTCTTACAACTTCAAAATCTATTGTTTCCTCAGATTTAAGTGTATCTTTGTCTTCCTTCCGATCTACGTTCTATATCCTATGTACAGCTCTTTTTGTCACATCCTAGAGTTTACCTCAAGAAAGATGACAACAGTTGAGAAAACAAGCTACTTTGTTTCATTGCTTTGACAAAAGCAAAAAAACAACCCAATGGTCATTTCTTTGCAATGGGTGGCTTATCTTTTTCTGCAAGGCAAAAAAAAAAAAAAAAAAAGTTGTGTAAACAGCATGGCTAAATAAAGTGCTCTTTGCAATGTTCAACTGCTCTACCTCCTCAGGTCTAAAAGGCAGATGACTAATCAAGGTGGTAAAATGCAGCAAAAAGGTGCTAGAAGCACAGAGGAAGAGATGTGTAACTGATATACTTGGGAGACAGCAAGGAAAGAAAGGAGAAACATAAACAGCTTCACTCCAATAGTGCAACATTAGGACATTCTAGCTTGTCGTATGCAACAAGGAATCCCCCTCAACACTAACTTTTTAATCATAAAAGATTAAAAGCTAAATCATTAAGTAAAAGAAACATCCAAGAACCCTTACAGACTGAGAACAGTTTGACACCTAATTATGTGGATTTGAGTCTTCAGTTACCAAATTTCTGATGCAGTCCCAAGCATACTAAAGGCATGGCAATTTACAGCAAACAGCCTAAACTCTTTAGGCAAACCTGCCTTCCTCAAAATAGCCCATAACATATTTCAACATCCAAACAAAACAAAATTGCTGCTTGCACCTATGGTATTAATTGCTAATAAAGAAGAAAAGTATTCTAGCAATCAGGATTTTATTAACTGAGACACAAGGTGAATTGTTTGTTATTGTTGTATTAAAGGGTTTTTTTTTGTTTGTTTACATAGCAAACCAAGACACAAGGAATGCAAGGGTTTGTAGATTTCAGGAGGCTGCAAAATACATCTCTGTAAAAATCATTCCCAGAAGCCAATATTCAAAATAAGATGAAAACTGAAAACACCTTACTTAAGGCAGCTCACATCCTGCCATTAACATTTTTGTAACAGATTTCTACAGAAGAAGCTGTTACAGGGACTTGAATTCCTGAAATGTCACAGTCTCGGCTGAAGAGCGTAAATATGAAGGACGGGAGTTGGAATCTGCTGTTTTCCAGGCATTGACCAATCCAGACATGCATCGACTTCACCCTTCACTGTAGTCTCATCCGTTTTTCAGGTGGTCCTTTAGCAGCAGCACTCTGCTGAGCATTCTTTACAGTCTCTTTCTCCTCTGTCTTGACAGCTTCAGGGGCTGGTTCTGGCTCCTTCTTTATTTGATCCACTTAAGAAGTAACAGCAAAACAGGGTTAAACCTCCTATTTTCATTCCCAAAATATTCTTCAGAGTGTTTAGAAGATATTGATTTCAAAAGGATAAATTTAGTTTCAAAGGTTTAAGAACTAAGGAATAAATTCATGCCTATACAAGTTAAAAAAAAAAAAATAATAAAATGGAGTGGATGAAAAGATCTAGTTT